GTGTGTGACCTCACCTGGTAGAAATACCCCCCTGAGGTAGTGTAGGAACAGCATGCGCAGGGGGAAGGGGAGTCTCTTGGAGTTGTCTGCCTGGAAGTGTATGTTGAGGATGATCACAGTCAGGATCACAGACAGAGCACACAGTGCCATAGACACCAGGTAGTAGAGACCTACACAGAAACATGAAAAAAAGTTAACATTCTCAACTTGTGACAACTTAATGATTTACGTCTTGTGGGCCGAAAAAGGACATTACCAGGACAAACAGTTTGTTTTGTGAATTGTAAGCGGATTCCGCAACAGGTCAAAAACAGATTTGTCGCGACATTTCTTTGATTTTCTATGCTATTTTGGATTCCAAAAACAAATAGTAAAACACTGTACCGCGCAAAATTACTTCGAATATAGGCGAAATTAAGGAATCCGCAACAGTATTTACGGAATCGGCAATAGTATTTGCGAAACCCAAAACATTTTGTGGAACCCTCAAACCAACAGTTAAAGATAGGAATAGTAAAATTGAATTGTTGCGGAATCCGCAACAGTAAACGGAATCCGCAAATTGTAAGCAGAAGCTAATGATAAAAATATCCGTTGCTTGAGTTTGCTCTGAGTAATTAAATTGTTGATTGTCACTGTAATTGTATTGCCCCGATAATCAAATAAGGAAAAAACTCTTGAAACTCGAAAAATATTGTTTTTAATGACCACATGAGTTTCATTAAGCACCATGCTAATTGAGATTTGCTTCGCGGATTTTCGGAAAGTCTTTTCTTCAATTCTTCAAGTCTATATTTTTCTTTTCTTCGCCTTTTTTCATGCAGTATGTATTTTTCTTTAATGAAGTGTTTGTACTGTTCAACCGTTACCTTCGTGGATGGGAAGTCGATGAAAAAGCAAATTTTTTGGTTCAATTATGCTCACTGGCTATTGCTCCGATTTTTAAGTAAATGCTGAGCAATGTTTTAATCAATCTGTCAAACTTCGGCGATTAAACTCATAGTTTTTAACAAAATAAAAATGGTACTTCTTTAAAAATTTTGACTACCCAAGTTCAAATGATAAAGATACTTTACTTTTGATTGTTTTTTGTTTTGTTTGGAGTGTTTTTTAACTGCTCTGAGTAATTGAATTGTTGATTGTCATCAGTAATTGTATTGCCCTGATTATTGAAATTCAAGTTTTTCAGAAGCTTATCAAACTGAGCTTACCTGTTTTTATTGAGATGCCCGAGAGACAAGAGTTTTCGGCTGGAAAATTAAGAAATGTTTTTTGTTGCAGAATTCCTGAAGCTGTAGCCCAAAAATTCAACATACCTTGCAGGCCAATTTTAAACTTTTCTCCACATGTTTCAGGTAATTGAAATTTCTTGTTCAGGGGTGTAAGGATTTCAGAATAAAATATCACTCAGTTTCAACGATGTGTTTTATGGCGCCTAAGTTTTTGTTAAAAAATTGACCGAACGGTATCCGCATCCAGTTTCAAGCGTTAATAATTGATTATGTTATGATTTTGGTACCAATCCTACTAAGAAATCGATTTTACTCAAATAGTAATCTATTATAATCTCTCTTTTTGAAATCAAACTATGATCAATTTTAATACACTTTAAGCTATTCTAGTCGAGTATTATTCCATAAATTTTTCGACACAATTATAATCGATTATAATCAATTATAATTGCTAATTTTAATCCAAACTTCTGATTCATATGTTGTACACAAAAAACCCACAATAATCGATTATAAGCAATTATAACCCCTTTTGCGTGCCCATTTTGTCTTCGACTTTGCATCTGAACAGCTTATATCGCATGCTTTTCGAAGACGTTGGTTCATGTAAAAACTGAGAAAATTGGCCTAAAAGTATTCAAATCAATTCAAATTCTTAACGTTTTCATTTTATCATTTTTTAGCATGAAGTTGTTTCATGACGAACATTTTAAGTTTTTTAATTCTTAAAATATCAGCATCTTTCTTTAGTTTCAAGATTTATTTGGAAGACTCATTTTTCACCTACCGCGGGAACCTTTCAACTATTATGGAAGGATCTTTATGAAAGTTTTGTTTCGTGGTTAAACTTTGTCTTTAAATGAACCAAAGTGTGTCACGACATCTCAATTTTAGAGATTTTGTTATTGATAGTGAAACAATAACCCAGGGGATATAATTAAAATGTACTTTTGGTGTGAGATACTATAACTGATTATAATCGATTATAAAGCTTTTAATCTGCTGGAAAACATCACGATTACAGTCGAATATAAATCTTTTAAACGCCTGATTTGGGTAATTTAATCAATTAAAATTGTCAAAAATTTGACATAATAATCCGTTATAATCGATAATTTACGCCTAAACTTGGATGCGGGTAAATTAATTCATTTTGGTGATCAGAATAGTATACCAGCAGGCACCACTTTTGGCAATTATATAAAAGTAACTTCATATGAGCTGTGATGTGACGCAGTTAAAATCATTCCAAGCCATATGCCGGTAAACAAAAAACGCCTAATGCATGTCGAATTAAAACATTGAACTTATTAATGCACTCGTGTCGTTAAGAAACAGCTCAAACAATTCTGAAGCCTCAAATAAAAAACACTATTTAAAATTTAAAACACGCAGATGAAAAATAACGGTGAGCATTCTTGCAGCATTAAAAAACAGCATTATAAGACTACTGACACTAAAGATCAAGAAATTTCATTGCAGATATCAGAACTTTGTATCGCTTCGCTGTCACGCAAATGAGTTTTTTGGGACTAGGAGGAAAAAATAGAAAAAAAAATTGTTGTGACAGGGAAATATTTTAGGTCGACCAAATTTATTTTCTGAATTTTTAAAAATTACTAAAAAGACTCTATTTCGACCAAATTTTCTCCCGCCACTGGCGAATTTTGGGAAAAACAGGCGAAATCGGCCATTTTTTTGGCAAGAAAACTTTTTCTCAAAGGATCGCGTTTTTTCGGCGCATGCTCGCCCTCAATATTTGTATATATTGACACCGAGGGCGCTTTTAGAAATATTTTAAAATCGGTCAGCAACAACGGATGTCACAAATTAGCCTCAAAGGGGATCTTTTGGGTCGGTAGAGGATCCCTTAGGAAAAAGCTACCTCCCCATCCTCCCCCCCCCCCCTCAAATCCGCCCCTGCCTTCAACGAAGTAAACCATCTCCTCCATAAAAGGATAATGTGTAAAAAGCTAACTTTCTTCGGGGAAACTTAAGGAGCTAGACTTTAAGATGCAAATTTCAACCTTTGTCCTAAACTATAATTTACTTCTTTGTAACTATACTATATACTTGAAGAGTATTTGGGAAATTTAGTTTTTCAATCGACAACTTATATGAGTTTCTGGTTACAATTCATTCAAAAATAATCAAAATTGATCGGATATTTTTAATTGACTTGCTTCATTTGAAATGAGCAAAAGTTAAGCCATATGAGTCCGATGGAAATCTCCCCAATAAAATGTCATTTCTGAGAAAAAGGTTAATTGATTAATTGGACAAATTAAAATATCGTTTTTCAATTTTCAACGTATTGCCCTATGTCTTTCTCATCCTCCACTAGCGTGACAAGTGGGGGGGGGGGGGGGGGGGGGAGGGGAAGGGGATAATTAAAAAACGCTTCCCTATCAAAAACTTTGTGCACGCCACTGTCACCACGGCCCCAACCCCTCCCCCCCCCCCCCCCCCCCCCACACACACACACACACACGCCCTCCCATGCCACCCAGGGCATATCAAAATACTATTGCAATATTATTGCTTTCCGAATTTTTTGGCAATAAAATATTGTTTTTTTTCACATTTGCAATATAATATTGCAATATATTGCAATACTTCCGAGAAGAAAAATGCAAGACACAATGAATTGGAAACAACTATTGAGAATTATTTTTGTCAACACATTCTTTCACGGTATTAATGTCCCAAAAATTACGATTGTAATGAAGAAAAAGTTGCATTTCCAGATTAGCAGGCAGCATACTTTTCCACAGCTTCTCCCATAGTTAAGAACTACAGGCAATTTGTTTGATTTTTTTTCCAGGCTGGGTAATGGATCAAGCATCGAGCAAGGACCATGTTGGGCCTCGAACCTCCGTCCTTTTGACTGAAGGAGGCAGAAATTTAACCAAATTTCCCGCCGCTGCCCAGAGATTATTAGTCAAGCGAATCCAAGAAACATTGGCTCTTGTTCGTTTTCCCCCTTCTGTGAGATTTTATCAGTAAACTTTCTGTTCAAAGTGTCCAATTGTTACAAAAATTGGCATGCGGACTAATTAGTCTATGACAAACATACTTGGTCCTCAAAATTAACTTTATAAAACCCCTCATTACACCTTAAAATTGATGCTCGTGTGAGGTGGGTTGGGGGGGGGCATATATTCTATCCCTTGCAATCCTCATAAAATATAGCTTGACTGACCTAGAATGGGGAAGCTGTCGGATGATTCTGGGATGAGATCCACGAGGTTGAGTAGATTCACGAACTGAGACAACAAAACTGTGATTCCTAGAGCTATCTTCTCGCCGCTCTCACACGGCAGAATGAAGTTGGCGATCGACACGAAGCTGCAATTCATCAACATCAAACATCAATCAGAGAAAATAGTTTTTTTCCCTGTTACGGAGCCCTTACCCCTCCCCCCGCCTCCGGTCAAGTAAGGAAAAACTATAGCCGGCCTTCCCTCCTCCGAGTGACTTTTCTGTTTTGGGTAGGCGGACTTCTTTAATTTACAGAAGTGTCGTTTTTTAATTTTTCAGTACGAAATAATCAATAATATCAAGAACTGTTCAACAAACTGGTAAGCACCATAATAAATGTATGCAGTATTTTGAAGAATTTTTTGACAGGGACTAAAACGTTCAAATTTTTGTAATCCAGTCGTTAGCCATAAATAACTAAAGAGACATATATAACAGAAGAAAAAGTTCGAAATCTGTGAGAAATAACTTTAAAAACTTCGGCCGTATGAAAAGAAAGAATGGAGAACCTTCTTTAAATCCTCTGCGAATCTTAAAAAAAACAATGAAATGTTTAATTAAGTAAATATTTGGTTTACGATGTCAAAGAGCAGCTATTTAAAAAATTGAGCTTTTTTCAGTCACAAGGTTAATTAACTTCCGAGTAGATTCCTAATACCGAAAAAGTATATTGACAACAAAATGGCAATTACTGCAAAACATACCTAATGAGTACATAAGGTACAATGAGAATGAGGCAATAGTAGAGACTCTTGCGTTGGAATCGGACTCTGAAGCACACAGTTCGGAACACCATGTCGTAGGAGTCGTGAGTCTCGTCTCTAGTGAGGATCCAAGAGTCCAGGAACTCCCACTGTGCATTCTCAGCCGCATACTTCAACTCCATCTTGGTCGAGTTGTCCTGGAGGAGAAATAAACTGACTTAAACTTAAAAAATTAAATCGGGCAGAATCAGAATCACATGCCTCGACAACACGTTTTTTGACCGTAAAACAAAAATTGGGTAAAAGTAAAACGTAGCAACTGCGTCAAAGAGGAAATGAGATAATTTTGAAAAAAATTTACAAACGTTATTAATAATCTTTAAAAAAATCCATTATCATCGGTTATAAACGATTATAATAGGTTTTAAATGATTTAAAAAATATTGGGATCATAATCCATTTTTAATCATTTATAATCGATTATATTTGAAATTTATTGAGACTGCAATTGAAAATCCAATATAATCTATTATTATCCATGAAAATCCAGTGCGGGTAAATATCTACAACCAAATCTTAGGGTCTTCCGACCCTTATTTTTTCTCTGGAAATCCTTGGACAGGCTGTCTAACCTAATATAGATCCTCTTCAATTCGCAGAATCGAAGACTATTAATGTCATTTTTATAATGCAAATTTAGGGAACAATTTATCTTATAAGAAAGTCGGCACATCAAAACACCTGCTTATGATGATATAATAATTGTGACTTGGACACTTTTGGATGCAACTATTGGCCATTTTATCCCCCGTTTCAAAGTTAATAATACTATGGGTTTTTTCTTTCGATCCAAGCTTCACCATTGCAGGTATTAGCTATGAATAGACCAGAAATATATATATATATTCATACCTTTTCTAACTTTTCCAGGGTCGAGATTTGCAGTGTATACCTCGGCTCGACCAAAATTTACTATTTTAAAGCTTCTCGACCCGAGATTGATTACGACTTTATATTTTTTCTAAGCTTTTCTACCTTTTTGACCTCTATCATCTATGTTTTGATGAAGTGCATATTGATCAAGCTCGACACAGGAAATATAATAACATATGATTCATGTTTCGAAGGCAACAATAACATATGATTAAATTATATTATTTTAAAATACCTGAAGCGTTCGATAATTAAATATATGTGCCTTTACCTGTACAATTAAGTTTATCTCTGTAGGCTGGTAGTACCAACTGCCAACTATGATATCACACTCCTGCTGATCGAAGGGAAACTGTTCGCTCTTGATGAAGCACGTAGTTCTGGTAATAGCTGGCATCGACCACCAGATGTTCCCGTCAAAGTACACTTTGATGTCGAAGTTTTCACGCTCCACTGAGATGCTAAAACACACCATTAGACAGTGTTTTGAAGCAGTTACTTCGAGCTCCTGACTGCACAGTGGGTCGTTTTTTTTCATATAAATTTAGGTCGTATTTGAAGTCAACCCTTCATTTTTTCTAAAGTTGACCTCGACGTCAAATGACACTAAATTCGAGTGGCAGCACTCGACAAAAAACGCATTTTTTTGTTTAAAAAAATATCTTAGAAAGGTCAAAGGCATAAGTTTTGGCCTGTTTTTTTTCTTCAAAAAATGGTTGCCGCCAAGAAATTTGGCAGGGTTCTTACAGTGTTTGGAAGAGCTCAGAAAGCCAATTTAGTCGACTTATGAAAGATTGACAGAATTTTAAAACTTTTTTGAAAATCCTCTGATCCCTCCGAGAAAACCCCCCTTCCACTCGGCGTTTGGACTGAACGGCTTACATCTACTAATAAATTGCTGTATTTGCTTTTTTAAACTATTCTCATGTTGGACTTGGACCCCTTTATCAGCATTTGTTTTTGCAAAGATTCCAATTATTGTATCATTGTGTTATTTAAAAACTTTTTAAATCTATTATTTCAATAATGGTAATTATTTACCATTGTATCAAAAAACTGAACCAAAATACACTAAATCAAAAATAAATATTAACTCAAATATTAAAAAATCGATTGGGGATAAATAGCGCGCGAAAAAGTAGGAGCGATGAAAACCCTTAAGTACTCATTTCTCAGCACTAAAAGCGCGAGTTTCCTTAAAAACATAGGCCAAGCAAATTATATAGCGTAATAGTTCACAAAAGCAAAGCAGAAAAAAGTAAAAAAGCAGATCACGAAAGTCATTTTAACGACCACAAAAATACGAAACAAACACAAAAAAAAATGAAAAATGTTGTATATGTCAGAAAAAATCATTTCAAAGTTTAACATTGGCAAACCTTCAAAAATAATTGAATCATGAGTGGATCTAATTTTATCCAGAAAAAAATGAGCGCTGAAAGAAAGATTTCGGTCACTTTTCACGTAAAAAAACATGTTTTTAGGCAATCTGCGGTAAAAGACTCTAGTCCAGTCTGATCACACATAAATTTCCAGCCCCCCTCCCAAATGATTTTTTCCAGACTTTTCCCTCCAAGTATCTATTATTTTCTCCAAGCTTGTAGTGATAAGTTTCATGCTTTTGAAAAATTTCAGAAAATTTGAATTTTAGAATAATGTAAGATCAAACAAGGCTGTTCGTAACAGAGCTTGAATAATCCGAAAGCTTGAATAATCCGACTACCTTTCAAACTTTATAGAACAACTTTCACTAAACAAAAAAAATTATGAAAAAAAGGGGAAAAAAGAATTTTTTTTTGAAAACCACCCGCGCGTTAAAAATATCTCGCGCGTTAAAAATCCAAAGTAGGCCAAATTTATCATTAAACTCTAATAACGTTAGAAAAAAAAACAAGCACGGATGAATCAGGTTTTTTTAATATGAGTTCGAGACAACAAAATATGATTTAAAACATTCCGTCAAAAACTATATATTTGTTTATATGCATTTATAAATTCTATTTATCAATTTTTTTGTTCCGACCATTGAAAATGGGGAGGAACTTTGGATTCGAGTGTTTTTTAGATTTTTTTTGTTTTCCACGCAAAATCCGCAACCACAAATAATCATCAGATAGGTTTGAGTGATATATCATACTGAAGCCCTTTTAGTCTTGAATCAAACGACGGTAAAAAATTTCCACAGCGTCGAGAAACACCGGCTTGAAATTTTAGAATTTTGGTCTACTTTCGAGCTAATAAGTAGGATGGCTAGTAATTGCAATAACCTGAAAACTGAGTGAAAATTTATTATAACTCAATTAAAGGTAGTTTTTTGTGAGTTTTTCAGCAGAATTGAGGCAATCAAAACCTTGAAAACTCAAAAAATTCTCGCAAAAAAGTTTGAAAACACTTTTGAAATTTTTTCAAATTTTTTTTTTCGTTTTTCTAGTCCTTTCATTTCAAAATCTGTTTTCAATTGAATTATTTTACTATGACTCTCAAACATGCCTAAATTATACTTTTTCGCTCAGATTTTTTATCACAACATGCAGAAAAAACGACACAATTTGAGACAACTTTTTTGTATTTTTTAAGACTGTATCGGATCATTCTGTGCTACTTGCACAGTAACCAGCTATCCTTGTTTATTTTTTGATTTAGATATTTGCTTAGGATGTCCCTAGGAAACAACATTTTCTATCTTTACGTGAAAAAAAATTTTTCAATTTTTTTCGAGCTGCTTTTTTGAATAGTTTTCGGGAAGTACATAATTACAATGATTATGTACTTAAAAGGCAGTCGAACCATTCAGGGCTTCGCCCTGATACGAGCAGTCTTGTTTAATTTTTGCATGTTTTTAGTGTTTTTCGAATTTTTCTGCATATTGTGCAGAACAAGCTTCAATAGTAGAGATTTAAAAAAAAAAACCAACAAAAAGAAAAAATACTCGTTTTTCTCAGACTTTTTTATCAAACGGCTTTTCAGAACAAATTGATACCATTCGAATCAATTTTACTTTAGAAATTAAGGAGGTAAACAGGGTAATTGATGAAAAAAGAAAAGAAAAGATTAAGCCTATTTGCCTCTTTAACGCCGTATCAAAAAACTGACCCGTTTTAATAATGTTTTTTTTTTTGGAATGAAATGTTGCAAAACGAATGCTTTTTGTTAATTTTTTCAATCATTTGATCTGGCCTGATAATCAATCATATTTTTTTTACAATTAAAAAATATAGATAACTACATCGAAATTGCTTGTTATTATGTTGATTTGAAAAATAAAACTTTCAAAAATGATATTTTTTTACTTATATTTTTCTGTAACTAAGTTTATCAGATGCTTCAAAGGGCAGTTGGTTTATTCAACATTCGAATACGGGCAGTGTTGTTTCAGTTGCTTTTTTTCTTCACAATTTTTACTCAATTTTTTATTTCCTGTTTGTACTAATTTTATTGAACTTTTTCCACACATTTGGCGTCATCCAGCTTCTCATTTTTTAATCTATTTAATCTAATATCCAATATTTATGAAAACTGGTAGGCTGGGCGTCTATTTTTTGCCAGACCTAACTTAATAAATAAAAAACATACTTAATTTGAGACTGTAGCAATTGGTACATATATTGAAAAGGAGCGAAAGTGGCGATAAGAAAGGCAGTGACTCAATGATGAGAGAATGAATTACGGAAAACTGGCGCGAGCAAAAGTAAAAGCATTTATGGCCCTTAAATCTTTATTTTGCCGTAAAATGGTTTGAGTTTCTTTACAACTTCAGTGTATTAAAAGTTAGATAAAATAGCTCTTAATAGCTCTACAAATCCTATAAAATTAAAATAAAATAACCGAACACCGAAAGACAATATGACGTCTACCATGATACGCAGTGTGTTTTTTGAAAATTGCAAGCCTGAAAACTTAATTGATTCAAGAGTGGATTTAATAATTTAAAGAAAAGAGTGCAAGAAAAAAATTTTTTGCATCTGTTTAGGTCAAAGGCAGAATTTTAAGCATCCTGTTGAAAACTGAAAGGACTTTTGCACCAGCAGATTTAGAGGGGGGGGGGATGGTGGGTGGTTTGTATCGGACGCCCTCTTTTCAGGAATTCGACCCTCTGCCGACCCAAAGGGTCCCCTTTTTTACTATTTTGAGATATCCACTTTTGGCTGACTGAGCCTTTATAGTGATTTGGTAATTTTTTTCTGGCATTTTTTTTCTTCAAAAATTGGTACTTTTTTGGCAATTTTTTTTCAAAAATTCGTCGGCAGCGCAGATTATTTTGTCAAAATAGGGTCTTTATAGTGATTTGGTTTTTTTTCTGGCATTTTTTTTCAAAAATTGGTACTTTTTTGGGTTTTTCTTTCAAAAATTCGTCGGCGGCGCAGATTATTTTGTCAAAATAGGGTCTTTATACTGATTTGGTAGAGCTCAGAAAATCAAGTTGGTCGATCTACAAAAAAAAGGTCGACAAAAGTTTCAAAATGCTTTTTAATGTTCGCCCCTTCGAGAAAATCCTAGATCCGCCTCTGGGCTCTAGCCTAGTCGGATCAACCACACAGTGAACAGAAGTTTACCTCTGCTTCTAGAAGTCACGGGCAAATTTTTATTAGCTGGCCAGAAAAACTGAAACTCGATTTCCAATTGATTCTGCTGGAATTTTTTAGGACTCAGAAGACCAAAATTATTATAGCTGTAAGATCTTGCTTGAGCATAAGTATTTATGTGAAGTATCACATTACGAGGCCAATATGTGCACTGGATAGGCGCACAAATTTTTATCTGTATGAACCTGGTTTTTCTGAAATTAGCCTTAGCGTTTCCGCAATCAAGTTCAATAGATAAAAGTATATAATAATCGATTTTCATGGTCAAACTTTTGCCATTATAACAGATAATAAATATACTTTGAGACTAGACAATCGATTAAAATCTTATTCAATCCGTTATTTTCAAAAAATTAATTTGGTTTTAATCCATTGAGAACCCATTATAAGGGATGATATTGGATTATAGTCCGTCTAAAAGCATTTCAAATTTTCTGCAAAATTTGCAGCTTTTTCTCCATTTCTCAGAGACTGCTGGATTTTTAGACTTACTCAAATTTTCTTAACTTTTGCAGAACTGTATCCAGCACACTTTCAACGCCTTCCGCGTGAAATACCCCAATGCTTACCCTCATCTCACCGTTATCCCCCCCCCCTTTTAATCCCACCAAGCATCAATCCTCTCCCCCTCCCCTCATCTAGCAATTCCCAACCCTCCTCCCCTCACCTAGCCGTTCCCAACCCCCCTGGCTCTCCAAAATTGCTATTTTCTACATCTCCCATAACATTTTCCGCCACTGGCCTTTCTCATTAATCGCTCGACTTGCCCTTTTCACACAAACAATGGAGGAATGTATGGAGGTGGGGCGAAAAATTGGGGGTTGAGGGTTCGGCGGTAAAAGGCATAGGTAATAATGGGGGAGGGGTGGTAATTGGAGGAAGTAAAATTGGTAAGCCTAAGTGTGGGGTAGATGGGCGAGGGACAATGATACCGCAAAGTAGAAAACAGTGAAAAAATCGTACAAAGTTAAAAACAAAACGAAGCAACAAAATTCAAAAGCCAAGTACAAATCTTAAATTAACGATTGCAATTTTCAAGTGTTGAAACTATACGGAAAGAAATTTTTTGGAAAATCTAGATATTTGCGTTAAAAAAAAATTAGTATTCCTTATAATCTCTTATAATCTATTATAAAAAATTAAAATCGGTAATATTGGTTTCCATTGATTTCTTTTTTGTTTGTTTTGTAATCAATTATTTCACTATTAGAATCAATTGTTTTAGTGTTTTACGGAGACAGACCTTGGAAATCCATTGAAGTAGATTATTATCATAAAAACTTCTTTGCGCAAATGAAGCAATTTGAATTTTTGCGTAATGATTTGGCTAAAAACACATTACATCTGTTAGAAGTATAATTATTTTGGCCTTTATTAGAAAAATATAGGTGCGCTGACTTCCCAGGAAAAACGAATTTACCTTTTTGCAAACTTTTAAAAATCATTTCAATGGCACTGTTTTCGAAATAAAAGAAGGATAGCCGGTTGCTGTGCAATTAGCACAGAATGTTCCAACCATATTCTTTAAATAAACACACTCACAAAAAAAGTTTTTTCTTTCAAATGATTGTCAGTTTTTCCTACTTTTTGGCCCAAATGACGTATTTTAAATGAAATCATAAAACATTGTACTTAACTTTGAGTGCTGCTAATAAAATTCAACTTTCAAAAATTTTTAATTTTTCGAATTGAACCATTATTTAGCCATTATTATCAAGTATCTTTGAAGATTGTCAGAATAAACATGGCTCTGCCTGATATGAGAAGTTCTCTTTTGGTTGATATATTGTTATTTCACAGTCTTAACTTTTTGTACATTTTCTAAATTCTCTTAATTTTAACAGACTTTTATTTACCATTCGGCATTATACACAATTGGCGTCATATTCATTTTTCATCTTGCTCTACCTATATCCCCCTACCCCATAGCCAACCCGTAGATGTGGGAGGAGATTTAGGAAGGTGTTAAACGCAAGAGGCTTATCGGGTTGCAAAATTAATTTGAAAATATATGTAGGTTTAGAAATCGAGTACGCCGTCAGTCATGAAAAACTGTTGCAAATCTTGCATATATAATTTTTCTACAAATTTATAAAATTTTGAGCAGTTGTAAGGATTTCAAATGGATGAAATTTTTCATGAGCTTCAAGTCCTATTTGATGTCTACATTTTACAAATAATCCATTATAAAAGTTTTTTTAAAAAAAAACATGTAAATTCGAAATAAACACTTGGTTAAGTATACATGCTATCACGAATTGAAATTAAAAGAATGAGTAGAAAATCATCACTAAAACGTCTTGTAAAAATTAAAATACAACTTTAATATAAACGAAAAAATCAAAACTAATATAAGATATAAAAAAAATTCTCAAAAAGAAATAATGGATCTATCAAAAGAAGTTTGTTGTGTATTTTTGTCAAAATTTTTTAATGTTCACACTTAAGTTTTTGTTTAGAAGTAACTTTGTACAACTTTACGTATAACTTGTTTCGTTTAATACACATATTGTTTGCTACGGACATATTGTTTGCTACGGATTCCATTCAAAAAGAATGGTCCCAAAATAATACTTTGAGGTACGCCATTATTTTCAGTAAGAAATAATGATTTTGAAGTTTTACATGTTGCTGGCGGTCTCTTAAAAAGACGAGAATCCATCATAAGAAAATTTCCCTCATGAAACTGAGCGAATATAAAAATCGTTAAAAAATCATTTTCTAAGATATAATTGCTTGAAAAACAAACTAAGTTTCATTTTTTGCTTATGTATGGGTTGGTAGAATCCTTGAATTGAAAAATGCAACTTTTTCCAAAAAAAAAATTGTTTCAACGTCAGTACAAAAAAATCCAAGTTGATTCTTTTTGTTTTAGATTTGCTATTTTATTTTGCTTTTTATTTGCGCTTAAATGATAAAAGAGGCATTTTACGCATGATTCAAAATTAAAACTTTCCACTTGTCGATTTATTTCTATGTGTACGAATGAAGCGAAGAACTTGAAAATAGTTTTTTTCTACAACTTGATCTCAGCAAGTTCCATAGTTCGTTTTTTCTCTGATATGTTATTGCACGAGATCATAGTTATAATCGTCAATTGAGATCTCAATTAATTGTATACCCAATTGCGAGTCCTCTCATTTTGTTTCATGTTAAATAGTCACTTAAGGCAAAGCTTACCTGTTGTCAATGGCTATATCTGGAGTCCATATTTCGCCCGGTCGGAAAGCCATCCACTCTGGCCTCAAAGCAGAACCAGGCGAATCAGGAGAACTAGTGTAATCCGACGAACTGGATGAATCAGACGAATTTGATGAAGTTGAGTTTGTGTCTGATTCATTTGCTACTCTGTCCCACATGATAAATTCATCTCTCCACATCTGATTAGAAAAAAAAAGATTCCCATACAGAATTGTTTAATTTCTCAATATCATACAAAATTATTCATCATTTAGAAATCTGCTTTTTAATTGAGATTTTCAAAAAAAAGGAAACGAAATGCTGCAAAAAAAACTAGAAAAACCGCACAATTGATTCTGAGCTCTTCTTCATTTCCTTTTTTGGTGTTTTTTCAAATATTTAAATGATTTTAGCGGTCCGTATTAATTAGTAGCAGGTAGCAGTTTAAGGAAAACTCACTTGAACCAAAAATCACCCATAAATTAACTCATATTTGCCTAATAAATTATGAAATCCTCATTTTTATCTGACGAATATTTTTTGTTTGGTGTATTAATTTTTGAGGGTGCTTGGAAAACAAAATTCGTTCGTTTGCTATTATCAAAAGTGTTTAAAATTTTTTAAAATTTCTTTGTCTCGCGAAAACTTTTCTGCATCATTATCTCCCTCTTAAGACCAATTATCCACGAGGTAAATGACCAACATACGAGCTGTACAGCTCATTACGGAGAACAGCTGTTGTGCCCCTGCTTAAGAGCTACATGCCATTTTTGGTTAATTTTTGCTTAAGAACTACATGCAATTTTTGGTTAATTTTTGCTTAAGAACTACATGCAATTTTTGGTTATTTTCTGGGCTGGGTACTGTTGCCTCACCCTCAAGCAACGAGCCCGGATCATGGTGGGCCTCAAAAATCTAACCTTTCGATTGAAAGGCAGAGATGTAACGACTTCACTACCGCTCCCCTTTGAACTATGAAAATTGTATTGTGGACGTTAACCCCGAAAACAGTTGAATGAAATAAAAATTCCGCCTAAAAATTTATTGAAATGTTAGATATGTGAGTTAGAAAAAATGAGACACGAAGTTTGATAAGGTCCAAGTTTGCCAGTTCGATGTTATCGACTTTTATTTCAGCCTCCCCCTTTCAATCCACAAAATCGTCAAAAATTTTTGTCTCGAAATCAATCATATACTGTATCAATAGTTTCATAGAGATAGTTAGCAATCAACATCAATCGATTTTAATTTTACAACGATTTTAACTAATATCGGGTGGTGCCAAAATAATGCTTATTTCGAATCTTTGCTGGCCTCAGAAAAGCATACGTTGTTTTAATGCAAATTTTTTAGCACATAGTTCAGATGAAAGTTTAGCGATTTGGGGCAGGGGTGTGGTTAAGAGATAAGATCTTCAAATCTAAGACCTCGATCTTCAAATGTCATGAAATTGCTGAACCGGAAAAAAATAATAAAACAAAATTCAAAATGAAAACTCATCTGAGAAAAAAAGCTGTTTACCTGGTCAATCCAAACTTTGCAACACATTTCTTGTTGTTTCTCGTCCTGAAAACAAACAAAAATTATAATAAAATTTAGGGTCAAATTGAAAGAACTTTTTGTGATGAGTCTACCAACCAATGCAATAAGTTGTGTGATGGTGATCTTATACTGGACTGTGATTGGCTGAGACTGGTCCAATAGAGGTCTCTGCCTTCGCGAGTAATTAGCTGGAAACTGGAACTGCCACCGTGAGCTTTCTAGAATAAAAAAGTTGATTGAAATATAGGCTAGATACAGTCCAGTTTTCAGGTAGAAAAAGTTGTTTTATAAAGTTATCGCGAAAATTATTCGTCTTTGAAAAGCTGGCATTTTTTCAAAATCTGAAAATTGTTTGAAACATTCTCAAAAAAAGCTCGCCAAATTCTTATATAAGTCTCACAATAATCAACTATTCAAACCCAGGTACTTGAATTTGAACAAGTCTTTGAAAGTCGTACCTAATACTGTTATTAATAGTATTATTTCATAGTCGCGCCGCATCTCAAAGGTGCACCATAAACATGTTTGGTCTTTATGCTAAGCCTTGTAAAAGCACTCGTTACACCATGAAATCGATGCTTATGGTGGTGAGGTGGGGAAAAGAAAAAGAGCCTGAGTTCAAAACATCCATGAACAAATTACAAGCCGCAAAATTTCAACGCAACTTTTACGTCAATTTAAACATATCAAACGGTTGATTGCTGACTTTGAAAGTTACTTTAGCAATATTTTTAGTGCCCAACACTCTTAATCAAGAATTCAAGAGTTCAAAGCATGAAAAAGTCAAAAATTTTAGTATGAAATTGATAAAATCGAAAACTAAAGGTACTGCCTCACCCCTAAAACCTCCTAGACTGGGTACTCCAGTATAGCGGTTGGGTTGAAGAAAAAAGCAAAACCATTGCAGTATTTGCCTTTATCTCCTCCCAAAATTTATACCCTCCAAAGTTAAACAAAAATGATGATTTTTTAAAAATCAATAAGAAATGCGAAAAAAATGCCAACCATTTTAATAAAATTATGACGACAAATTCTAAATTAAGAAAAAATTAAGTGAGGTAGGGCATATTAATAGACAAAAAAACTCGACTTTACTGACATTACACGAAACTTTTGGATTTTGCATGAAAATCAGCGGCCCTCTGATAACAAACAATTTTTCGGGCGTGAAAAAACAGTTGCCAATTAGTTTTTAATTCAACGCTTCCCACCAACTTAAAAAAAAGAAAAAAAAAATCAAATTAAAATTGAAAACTTCATTATCTTAATCGCTTATGTTAGGTTTGCTTTAGTTTGATTGTTCTGATTCTGTAATACGTGCACAACAACCTGTCACATTTACTTTTATTATACTGCCACGGGACAGAGAAATTGCAATTTTATAGTTTCAAGAAGCAAAAGAACGAAATTTGTGCTCATGTTTTCGTGGTTTTCTAGGCAACTGGTAGATAAAACTATTTAGAAGGTCTTAGCCGGGACAAATTTTGAGAATTCTTGTTTTGAAGGCGTAAATTAGCCAGTATAACATAACTAAACTTAGAGGTGTTTTAGCTGTGGAAACTTGCAAACAACTCATCACAAACAACAGAAGCGGATGAACTTGACTCGCAAACATTATAAGGCTAATGACCTTGACTTTCCTTTTGTGACGCTGAGGGATGACTCATAACAGAATGGAAAAATTTACTTGATCTGGCTTAAGAAAACGGCAAAACTTTCATGAATAATTTTGTAGTAATGATCGAAAAAAAATCAGCAAAAGAATACTTCCGGAAATTTTTTTGGAAAAATTGCAGTTCCTCTAATCTATCAATCTATGAACAGGATTCTTCTTAGCAGTCATCTTCTATGAAACTTTTGCTTACATTCTGGTATAAGCTTCCGCTATATTATAATGTATGTGTCGTCAAAAAAGTTATGAACAATTCTCGACGCCGGATCAAGTACCTCTTTCAATTCTGTTATTGGTAATTTTTTGGTGTCTTAAAAAAAACGTCAAGTTCACTAGCTTCCCAATGAACTAATTTGATCCCATAATTTCTTGTTGTTTTGATTCCATAAATTTGATCCCATAAATTCAAGTCCTTTTGTTGTTTGCGAGGATGTTTCTACAGCTAGAACACTTCTAGAACTAACTAAGTTATACTGGCTAGTTTATGCCTTCAGAACAAGATTTATGAAACTTTGATCCGGCTAAGCATTTTCAAATACTTTCATCATGTCAAAATGTTAATATTTTTATTTTGATCAGCTGATGAGTAAACGACAAAAGCGTGAAGAACTCTTTCGTTTTTTCTTCAGAAAGCTTAAATCAAAAAGTTGCAACTTCTATGTCCCGTGACTGTATTTTGAGTAAAAATGCTTACCGCTGCTTGAAATATACTTAAAAAATGGGCAAATTAAGTTCAAAACTGCAATTAAATTACTACCCAAACCGTTTCGAGTCAACGGGTATCTATTTGCTTGTTCCGAATACAGCTCCAGTTTTTTGGAAGAAGGGCGTTTAAAACCCTTCAATTACATTTACAAAAACTTTGCGCTTACATCAAATCACAAAAAAAGGTGGCGTAGGAAAAAAATCGTTCTTAAATTTGCACCCCATTTAAAAAATTTCCAATTACCGTCAAATTAGCTTTGACAAATTACCGTCAAATTAGCTTTGATTGTTCAAGTCGTCATTTCTGATTTTAAAGTTTGTGTTCAATTAGAGGCGTAATGATTTCAACTAATTGAGCTTCATCTCAGAAAAATTTCAGCCAAGTTAGAAAAAAGGTACAATTTAGTTAAGGAAGGTAGTTCGAGCGCGTAGGCTAACAGCTTTGCTGATTTCTGTGTTTTCTAATGACAGAGGCTCAACAGAGTTGAAAACGGGCCTGAATTTGAGACTCGGCCCGGGCACGGCCTGGTTGGGAACAAAAAAATCAAGCCACATTTAATAAAAAAACAGCTAATTTTAAATTGAATATCAAATGTGAATTTTCGAAAAATCAATTTTTAAGAAGCCCATTGGTCGCAGACGATCCTAGAAGTTCGATTTGGCTGACTTTTGCCGCAGAAAGCTCGGATTTGCCCAGCCCTGCTGGAGTCACGCTCCCTCTGGGTGTTTGTAACTTGAAATGTGAAAGGTGTGAACTCTTTTGAAAGTCAGGTTCGGGCCCGGTTCCAACTCTGAGGCTCAAACCTACTCAAAATTTCTTCAAAACATTGTTTAGTAAATTTTGTTCAAGTAAATATTGTTTCGTCGTTTGATCATAAATCATCTGTTTAAAATCCAAGGGAGCTACTTCCGCCTAAGCCCTTCAAAGCGTCGGCCCTTTGAATGCCCTTCAACTTTTTGATGAGTTAGACAAAAATCGTGTCCGTTTTTTTCCTCCGCCGCCAACAACGGCAACAAGAATCCAGTGAAAAAGTTTTGTCCGATAGTGGCGTAGTTCACTGGATCTAGTAGACCAGCTATATCAGCATATCGATTCATCTCCTTCATATAGTGACTTTTTAAAGACTTTTTTAAAGGCTTTTTAAAGAGCCTCGAAAATGTTTAGTGGTTGTCTTAAAATTTTTTGTCTACTCAAAAGCGATTGTTTGAGTTATTTCGGTTCTTGTTCGGTATTTTTCAAATTAAATGGTTGAAAATAAAATTAGAACTATAGCAGAACGAATTTTCCCCAAAATCTGAACGAGATTGACCATTAAAATCATAAAAATTTTAATACAAAAGTAACAGACATCATCAATTTTTTGAATTGTATGGGAATAAGACTTTTGATTGTATTCTCCTTCTACTGATGTGGTTAACGCTGTATTTTTCGCTTCTTCTAAGTAGCGTAATGTTTTGGATTTTCGAAGTTCAGTTGCTAATAGCGAATTGTATATAAATTAAACTAGGTTAAAAACTAAGCGTTTCCAGTCGACCAAATTGGTTTTCCGAGCTCTCCCAAATCCCTAAAAAACCACCAAAACCCGCAGACAAATAATTGAAAAAAAACTGACCAAAAACCAAAAAATACTTTTTTAGGCACTTGTTGGAAAATTTTGACCAATAGAATTGCGCTTCCCTTCAAATTCAGTATATATTGGCGCCAAAGGCACCTTTAGAAAAAACTTAGGGTCGGTCAGCCAAAAACGAGTATATTAAAATAGTACCATAAGAAGGTTTTTTACGTTGTCAGGGTGTCTAATCCCTGAAGGAGGGGAGCATCCGCCAACCTCCCGCCCACTCCCTGAGTTCGCTACTGCCTTCGACACACAATGGATAATTCTTGAAAGCTTTGGTTTTTCCAATGAAGATATTGTAAACCAAGCATGTGTGTTCTTTTTTTGAACAAGCAGTATTTTTACATTATAATGTTGTGAAAAAAATCAAAACGAGTATCTGCTTAATAGAATATAATTCAGAGGAATGGTTCAAAACTGATTTTGAGTAAATGCAAGACTGCTCAGGGCAACACGCTAATTGTCTCGTCTGCCTTTTATCTGTTGTGAAATTGAACTGTTTGATAACTTTTAACTCCTCCTTTTAGGGCCAATACAAAAAATCAGATTTGAATTTTTGAGCCGTAAAGGGAAATAATATGGACACCTAGGTAGCTTCAAACCTATTTGAAAACATTTTGAGCGCAGGAACGTTTATCATATAAAAAAAAATTTGCGTTACGCATCCAGCGTTACGTATAACATCTTCAAAGAGCGCATTAGTCCAAAACATTGCCAAATGCAATTTTTATCCCCCGAAAAGTATTAGAGGTATTAGTGAAAAATATACGATTGAAGAAAGCAATGTTTTTAACCAATATAAAAAAATGTTCTAAGCTATTCGTTCGATCGGCTTAAATAAAACGCTTCCCAAAAATTTTTTTAAATGAGTTTCTTTGAGAATCTTTGCAAAATGGAATTTTTCAATAGAAACAAGACAATTTTTTCCAGGCCAAAAGAGGCGATTGCTTTTGCAAAACCAACAGAAGAGAAGCGGAGCATTGCACCAACTGCGATATTAAACACACCTAACGAAGCAAACTAGCAGAAAAAAAAATGACAAGAACTCAGTCGGAACAAAATGAATCTTGATTTTAATTCCTTTGATTAACCTACTGCAATGTTATATTTGCTTCAATTCTTCAGATGGTATTTTTCAATTTGCAGGTGTTTTTCGTCCTGGGCTATTCTGTCTACTGGGTGATTTTTGAGTGGGATGCTCTCACGTTGAATATAAAAATAAGGGATAATTTGTCAAGAAACCCATAATATGCTGTGTTTTCTAGAGTGGGCGAAACAAAAATGTTCTAATTGACAACTGTTCGGTTATCGTTGAAAAAAAAACGACAAACCTGTTGCGACTATGAATGCTGACAGGATGACAAAGAAGTCGATAGCTGATAGAAGGCTGAATAAGTGTTGATCCATACTTGAGTCATGAGCTACTCATTTCCATAAATGTCATTCTGGATTAGACTCAGCTTCTGCGTAATCTAAATGCAAAAGTGGAACTTTTGACAGGGAATAGAGGGTATTGGTATAGTAATAAGATTGGTAAGTCGAAATCAAAGTTAGCTGAAGGAAAAAATAATGAGCTGAAGAAAGTTAAAAAAAACGGAGCTTGACTAAGTTAAACTTTCAGAATTTAAAAATGGAGTTTGAGTAGGTTAAACTTTCAGAAGTAAGATTAATTTTAGATACATCTACCAAAGGGGCGGTACGTATAACATCTTCAAAGAGCGCATTAGTCCAAAACATTGCCAAATGCAATTTTTATCCCCCGAAAAGTATTAGAGGTATTAGTGAAAAATATACGATTGAAGAAAGCAATGTTTTTAACCAATATAAAAAAATGTTCTAAGCTATTCGTTCGATCGGCTTAAATAAAACGCTTCCCAAAAATTTTTTTAAATGAGTTTCTTTGAGAATCTTTGCAAAATGGAATTTTTCAATAGAAACAAGACAATTTTTTCCAGGCCAAAAGAGGCGATTGCTTTTGCAAAACCAACAGAAGAGAAGCGGAGCATTGCACCAACTGCGATATTAAACACACCTAACGAAGCAAACTAGCAGAAAAAAAAATGACAAGAACTCAGTCGGAACAAAATGAAACTTCCGAAACTATTGTCCGAACTTTCCATAATGGTCGTCAAATGTGTTCAGTTTGAACAAAAACGTGTCGCAAGATCACCGTCGTTGCTAGTTAAGTTTTTAGAATTTTTTTTGAGCGGTAAATACGCCGAACATGTTTGCTAGCTCACGTTGATCAGAAAATGAAAGAATATTCTCACCAAAACTTTGATCTAAAAATATCTGAAAACAACCCTTTCAAACTTTTATGCACACCCCTATCCAAAAAAAAACACATATATAAAAATTACTGTTTTTCCAAAAAAGCGCACATTCAGGTCACTAAGCCAACTAAATTCCGAAACAAAATAGGCAGAATAAAGCTTTCAAGTCTAAAAACTTATGCTGCGTCAGAGTTGGCGTGCTCACAAACTACAAATATGAATCAAAAACTCTTTCAATTAGTAAAAATTGCAAACAGCATAAGACCGACACAATATAAGCAGTGAAATGATAGGCCGATAGCTTTTCTAATTTCAAATATTTTCAAAAAGCAGGTCCTGATCAAATTGATTCAGGGGTAGGATTTTACCTCAATTGGTTGTCTCGGAATTTATATTGTGATTTGATTTAGTAAACTTGCCAGTCGCACGCGTAAAAACTGAAGCTTGATTGGAACAAACATTACTTATTTTCAAATTAATGAAATTATTTCTGCAAAGTTTCGAATTTATGATTTTTTTTAGCAACGTTTTATTTGCTAGCTGATTTCTTAAGGGAATTTGAATTTAATTTGACTGCATTATTTGCTTTTACTCTATGATTATTACAGACAGGTGGTTGTAATTGCACAATTGGTTGTAAATGCACCATTTTCCAAAAAAGATACATTAACTATTATTAAACACTCAAATTAACTTTGTTTTTCATTAACTTTCAAAATTATCTTACCTTATTTTTTGAATTTTGACCTTATAATTTTTTTTTTGTTTGATAAGAAAAAATCTAACTTCGATAAAAAAAATGACAGAGTATGCCTTGAGCGTGCACATTCGGTCTAATTTGTTCAATATTCGGTTTGAGAAGGACTGATCTTGGCTATCAGACTATTGGACGGACTTTTTTACGTCGAATAAATTGATTTTTCGAGATTTCTCAAAACACTCAGAAGCCTAATACAATGTGCGCTGCAAGCAATAGGCCAACGGGTTCCCGGCTTAAAACTAGGAAATATTGGCGCCAAAAGTCCACTTTGAAAAAATTTACAGTATGTTTGCTAAAAATTGCTTTCGTTAAATAGTACCAAAAGAGGAATTTTTATGTGGCTAGGGATTTGAAACAAATTTGGGTGGCTAAGGAGTTTTGTACCTCTTTGGCTGACAAAAATTGCACAATTTTTAAATGCAGAAAACTACCTAAGTCTTATGAAAAAAAATTCAAGTTTTTGTCATCTATTTTGGATATTTTTTGTAAAATGTAAAAAAAAAATGTAATAAAACCAACATTCAACCATCTAAGATTAAAATCTGATAGTCAGGGGATAGTTTTTTGTTGACTTTTTTGTCAAGAAGCACAAAATATTAAGACCCCGGTGTTAAATTGACCAAATCCAAAAAAATGTGATCTTGTTCAATGCGGCATCTTGATTTTAATTCCTTTGATTAACCTACTGCAATGTTATATTTGCTTCAATTCTTCAGATGGTATTTTTCAATTTGCAGGTGTTTTTCGTCCTGGGCTATTCTGTCTACTGGGTGATTTTTGAGTGGGATGCTCTCACGTTGAATATAAAAATAAGGGATAATTTGTCAAGAAACCCATAATATGCTGTGTTTTCTAGAGTGGGCGAAACAAAAATGTTCTAATTGACAACTGTTCGGTTATCGTTGAAAAAAAAACGACAAACCTGTTGCGACTATGAATGCTGACAGGATGACAAAGAAGTCGATAGCTGATAGAAGGCTGAATAAGTGTTGATCCATACTTGAGTCATGAGCTACTCATTTCCATAAATGTCATTCTGGATTAGACTCAGCTTCTGCGTAATCTAAATGCAAAAGTGGAACTTTTGACAGGGAATAGAGGGTATTGGTATAGTAATAAGATTGGTAAGTCGAAATCAAAGTTAGCTGAAGGAAAAAATAATGAGCTGAAGAAAGTTAAAAAAAACGGAGCTTGACTAAGTTAAACTTTCAGAATTTAAAAATGGAGTTTGAGTAGGTTAAACTTTCAGAAGTAAGATTAATTTTAGATACATCTACCAAAGGGGCGGTACGCGTTTCCTTTTTTGTTCAACCTTTTGATTTTTTGGGAAACATTTTTAGCTTATGGAAAAATTGGCTTAAATAAGATATTTGGTAAGCTAAACATTATAAAAATATTACTTGCGGGCTAAAGGTATATAATAAATTTGGTCAATATTTAGGTTATTTTCGGGTCATTGCAACCGTCGCGCCATTTCGTTCCTTTAATAGACGATTGGTTAACAGTAAAGTTATCGATGGGTCAAATTTGGCACCTGATTCGTTTAAATTGCAGAAAATTTAACAATTACCGGTCGTCTGATGCCATTTTTACGTGTCTCAAAATCTCATCCGCTCCCGAGTAAAATCTACCGGCTAACAAAATTGAGTTTTCATTCCACAAATAAGAAGAAAAGAATGGTGAATGCGGAGTCTGCCTGAAGTAAAAAAAAAAATTAAATTATGTCAGAAAAATGAGCAAAATGTAAAGAAATAAGCCTACAGGTATCAATAAACACAAGTGGCTGGGGTTGGTTTGAAATGCCGCTAAACAATTGGACACTTATTGAATGAAAAAAAAATTTTTTTTTATCTATTTGACTGTGCCAGATTTTTCTAATGGTTTTGTGCACTTCGAATAGATCATTTGCTCCTTGTTATCTGCAGGCTATAAAATTGGCATGAAAAAAAAACAATAGCCTGTCAAAAGCAATACAATCAGACGTGTTTTATTGGTAAGACGAAACTACTGGGCGGAAAGCTGGGGGATAAAATGGAAAAGTTCGACGGACAAGCTAAGTTTCCGGGAAGAGGGTAACCGAAACCTATTAATTACAATAATGAGATAGTAAATCCCTATTTCAGCACGTTTCTAATAGTTTTTTTTTTGGTTAAATTTAAAACTATTATGACTTCTTGCATTTGCCTTTCCCATTTTTCAGCCGTGTAATAAAAAACAGCTTGTAAATAGTTAAATAGCATATATATGACCAGGTTTTAGAAAGACTGAAATTAATTGAAAAGACTCTTTTTTGCCTTTGAACAGAAACAAAAGTATTATTGGAGTTCTTTTTTCGACCAAAAGAGACCAAATTCAATTTTTCAAGTTTCTTTTGTAAACTATTACAATTCCCTGCCAATTCAATTGTATTGACAGAAAAGTTGTAAAACTACAGTAACTGGACTTTTTGAACCATTTTGATCCCTAAAATCAGAACATTCTTGCGTAAAATCAAAGTCGGCCGTGGTTAAAAAAAATCTTTTGACCAGCTGGTTAACAATTCAGAAAGTGCACTGCTTAGTCAGTCTTTTATAGGGGTTGAAGATTTATTTTAAGATACTATAAGGGTGTTTTTTGAAGAGGGTAACCTATTTCAGCACATATGACTTTAACTCGATTCTCAGCTAAAAAAAAATAGGGTAGAGGTGAAAAAAAAGACTGATTGCGCCGTACGATCTATTTAGGCTGAAGTTGAAGTTGAAAACGACAACTCTTTTCTCAGTGCGGTAAAAAAAAGTCGCTTTATATTTTCTCTCCTCCTCCTATAGCTCCTATAGCTTATAAATCTAGTTTATTTGGCCTTTTTGGGGAGATCAGCCAGTTATTTTTGTCCTAATCGATGTTGGTTATAAAATGTAGCTACCGATTTGGTTCAGCTGGTCGAAACTAATTTGGCCGAAAAGAGAGATTACAAGAGAAGAATAATTACACGTACAAGTACTGAATTTTTGGATTTACTTTACAATCTCTTTTTGCAAAAAAATGAGAGCTAGTATTGAATGCTGGTAGCGCAATGAGTGAATGGCAAATTCCCTCTCCTTCAATTGTGGATGTCAAAGTTCTTATGTGCGCTCCAGAAAATTTTGCGCTCCAGATGTCAAAGTTCTTACGTGCGCTCCAGAAACATAGTTCAAAGCCTTCAAATTGACTGGCCTAAATAAGGTCGACAATTGTTTTTTAAGTCCCGCTGGAAAAAATTACTCCGTGCGCGACTGATTAAAAATCTGTGTTTAGTTTCTGAGAGTTTTGCATTTTTGTCTTGGTTAGGTAAAAAACTTATATCGACTTTAAAAAGAACATAATTGACTTTAAAGAACATGCAGCACATAATATACCGACCAACTCGAAACAAAAAAAATGGAAACCGACAAGAAAATTTTTACAACGTGGATATTTTTTGTCATTACGTTTTTTCTAGTGAAAAGTAAAAAAAAAAGTGGAAAAATATGCAAGAACGAGCGAGAGCTATAGCGTTAAATTCTAATAAATTGAAATTTCAGGCTCTGATTTAACTTCGAGTAAATTAGTCTGAAAACTAAAAAAATCAAACCAGGTTTATTGACACTGAGAAAATTTTATTGACTTTTTCAAGAATCCGGATAATTCACAAAAAGGATTTAAGATAAACCACACTTGACATCTATGACCTTTTCTTGAGAATATGAAAACTGGCTAAATAAACGTTAAAAAACGGACCCTAAGCCATAGTTTCTCCAATATACTCAGCGTCGAAATTTGATTTGGGAAAACGAATTGCTGTTCATTTTTTTACGCAGATATAACCTAGTTGACGCAAGTCTCATACTTTATTTTCTCATCTGCATATGATTCTGTTTTGAGGTTCATTTTCAATTTTAATTTGTACCTATTCTACCTAAAGTTTTTGTTTCAACCACAGAAAATAGGGCAAAGCTTAGTCTTCGGGTGTGTTTTAGGTTTTTGTACCTGTTCTACCTAAAGTTTTTGTTTCAACCACAGAAAATTGGGCAAAGCTTAGTCTTCGGGTGTGTTTTAGGTTTTTTTAAAATTCGAGTGTGTTCTAGTTTTTTTGAGCGCAAAATGTGGTACGGCGCACAATATTGGAATGGGTCAAGCGATGAAACAAACCATTTAGTTGTGATTCAATCGATAGCATTATATATTATTCAGAAAAGTTTCTCTATAAAAGCTCTCTTTTCCCTCTGTCGTGATTTAAACGACACTGAAAATTGTTCAAACAGTTTTCTTGGTGTCGAGAAAAACTGGTTTGAAAATTAAATTTCCTAAAAAGTTTGTAGATTTTATTGATTCATTTTTTCAACATATTGCAGGAGTATTTTGTCCAAAAACTCCCAAAAATACTTTTTTTTCAGTTTTTTTTATTTTTTGTGGACGAAATTTTTTATGCATAGCAAACAAATATACTTGTTCCAATCAATTATCAGATTATCAGAAATTCTAACCTGAGCTTTGAAAAAAAAAACGAAAAATGAAAACGAGAGTGATAAAAAAACGAACAATGTAATCAGTTGAGGCACAGTTCAAGGTTTTTTTCAGTTTATAGCTCTACTATAAATAACTCTGAATCTTATAATTTTTCAAATTGGGGAGTGTTTAAAAACGCTTTTTTGAAAATTAAGTTCGAACAATTAAATCGAAAACTTTTTATTGCAACAAAACTGATTTAAATTTTTAGGGCGAAATATGACAAAAAAAATTGTTTCAAACAGAAAACCAATTTTTGATTTCTAAAAGTGTCAAGTTGTGTATTGAGTTAAATTGTTTTCCCAATCTGATATGAAAATTTAAAAAAACCAAAACTGCTTTTTTTAGATATGGTTAGAAAATATAAAGTGAAGTCACTATGAAAACCATTACAATCTCCATTGTTTTCTCATTAATTGGAACATAAATAGGCCTAGCTGTTGCCGTGTGATAAAATGGCAAATGGGTTTGGGAGTGAAATCCTCATACAACAACAAGTTGTGGATTCATCAACACCGTGCGTTGTTTTAATATTTTTTATTGCGAGCAATGCAGTTTGCAGTTTATGAAAAAAGGAAAAAAAGTGGCAAGGAATTGACATGTGATTAGCAAAATTTACATAAAAATTCCGCATTTGACGAGTTAAATTAACCAGCAGCATATCATTTTTTGTTATCAATTATGAGATTAAGTTTACAGTTTCGCAAATATAGAGACCCTAGAAAGCAAAGTAAACAAAAAAAGCAAAAATTTGTAGACCGATGAAACCAAAAAGCATGTCAAATAATATGCCTTCAAAAACATATTTGGAGTAATGTCAACAAAAGAGTTAAGCTGAATGTGAGCAGAGAAAAAGAAAGCAAAAAAGAAGGCATCAGAAAAAGCATCTAAGCTAAGAATTCTTCAATTCTGAACAAACTTCCAAAAAAAATTTCCGAAAAACTTTGTTGCTGCAATTTATATATTTGCCGTATCGGCTTTTAAAACTAAACTAATTGCAAGAACTGAAAACGGCCTTTTATTTTTTTTTTGAGAAAATGCAATTTTGGTAAACATGTCAGTTAGTTGAAATTAAAAAATTTTGATTCGAAACTATAGAACCAGTCAATAGAAAACAAAAAATAGAAAAACTTTAGAAAACTGGAAAAAAAAACAGTGGTAGTTTGAAATGGAATTTACTTTTTTTTCAAATATTTCAATTAAAAATGAAAAAGTGCCCTTACAGTTAAGGAAACACTGTTTTACTATAAATAGAGTCAAGCAACTCAGGTAGTTGAAACAAAACATTTGCTAGGTGAAACCAATATAAGAGTTCCTTTGATACAGATTGATCCGCAAACTCTTTTGATTTCAAAAATTTTTGGAAATAAATGATATCAAAATGAAAATGAGACTTACAAGAAAAAAACCTAGGTGAAAAAAGACTCCCTTACTATATTACTACAAAATGAAAACCATAACCAGCAACATCGCGAAAAATCTGCTTAAGGTTTTTGAGTTGTCGTCTAAATTCGAAGGACAGTAGAGCGATTAAAACAGTAGAAAAATTTTTAATCACGA